TTTATACTAATGAATAAAAACGTCCAAAACCATCAAATTATGGTAATAATTTGATTCCATAAGAATTCTATTGAAACAAGGAAATTCGGCCAAAAATAGAAAATTCGCCAATTTTTTTTGCTTGTGCGGCCGCATGGTGTAAATCCATACGGTCACATGGTTCATCTCAAATTTCACTTTTGGTTTTCGGTATGCATGTATGCGGCCGCATGTGGTTTTGCCTATGTGGCTACATGGTGTTGTCTTCAGCCTCCGCTTTCGTCGCTTGATAACAAATTGATCCAAGTTGATCCGGCCTTCGACCCGAACATGAAAGTTGCTCCATTTTGAGACATGGTTCCATTAATGGTTTCTTGAACGAGCAATCTTATCGCTTGTTTTACTTGCTTTGCCCTTGATCGCGTCATTAGTCTGCCATCGACTATCAATGGGTCTCGTCTCGCACTTGCCTTCGTCGGGCTCAACTCCTGAGTCATATCAAGAAGAGCATGAGGATAAAAAAAAGGAGGTGAACACAAAAGATTACCATCAACAGGAGCAGGGCTTTCATCGTTTTCTGGCAGGGTCTTCAATACCTCATCAAGATTAAAGTCCATATCTGTATGCACACATCAAAACTCATCAGTCTCGAAAAACTAAAAGCAAAAAATAATAAGTGAACGTGTGTGCATGAAACAAAAAAAAAAAAAACGAAGAAAACAACCTACCAGTAGGACGACTCATCCCCACTATCAACATGTTTTTCATGGTCAAGACTGATCCTAAGTCAGGTGCGAGAGGCGATACATCAACCAACTCTTGGATTTGAGCTTTTAGAAAGGGGATAATTTCTACTTGGCTATTGAAGAGATAAATTTGGGGGTGTCGCCAATTGGTGTTAAAAGAGAACCGATCTGCTGAAGGCTGGATGAAGAAGAACCGAGACTTCCATCCGCTATTCAAATTTCTAAATTTATGAAATTGCAAAGGAACCCTGGTGGTAAAATAGACGAATGCATTACCCTGAACTAGCTCATGCATTTCGAAGACACACCTGAAAAGGTCTATGGAAAGTGATATTTTCCTTTTTAGACAAACATATAGGAAATATAACGCCTTTCTCCACGCGTTGGGATTAATTTTACTAGGAGTAAGGTGGAACTTATTGAAAATCAACACAAAAAAGGGATGAATGGAGAACCGAAAACCCCCGTTCATAACGTCCTTGTACACGGCTACCTCGCGGGGATCGGACCCGGGGAGTCTTTCTTTAGGACCGGGGGCTCTATAGACATAATCATCAACTTGGTCATACTTACCTAGACATTTTTCCAACTTAAGTGGTGAATTGTAGATACTATAACTTTTTGTGATATCTAGGGGGACAACCTTACCAGCCGGGTCTCGCCCAATTTCTAAATTTTTGTTTGGAAATTTGGTAGAACTAATATGCCTCTTTGGGGATTTTGGGACAAACGCCTGAGAATCGATTGAATGGGTTTCACTATCAATGTCATAAAGAGATCTATCGGACGAAGGGGGCAAATCACTATTGAGTCAAGTCGAGAGACCGGATGGGCCACGGAGTTCAGAAGAGGTCGGATGACAGCCAGACAGAAGGCTGGCTGTCGATCGACCAGCCAAGGGGCTTGTCGACAAAAGTCGACCAATGGGGCCGATCGGTCGACCAGCCCCACTGGTCACCGGTCGGCCCCCCGTGGGCTGGTCGGACCCTTTCCGGTACCCTCCGATGAAGGTCCGGTCGAGTCACCACACCTCCATCACTATTCTCATTGGAAGGAGAAGAAAGAATAGTCTTATACATGACAACAAAAAAAGATGAAGAGAAATTCAAAGCAAGACTTGGGATTAAAAAGGAAAGAAAATTACCTTAGAAGGGAGAAAGCCAGGATGTTGAGAGAAAATGAAAGTGATTCTTTGAAGTAAAAATCGCCCCATTTTATAGACACAAGAATTCAAACTTTTTGGGGAGAAAATTCCCTCCAACATTAGGACCATTGATGGGGTGCCATGTGTACAGTAAAATTGTTACCTGATTTCGATTGCATTGCTCGACTTGCTAATACGAACTACTCATTTATCATTTTAAAAAAAAGAAAAATTTTCAAACCAACCCAGATAAAGAAAATTGCTACCCCTCGTCGAAAACATCGACAAGGGATAGGGTGGCTAATGATATAGGTTGGTAGAGGAAGCCACCCTCAATGACAAACAAGATGGATCGCTGTACTTCGATGCAAGGCCATCGATCCTTAAGGGGTGCTCTACCACTATCCCCAAGTGGTGCTCGACCACCATCCACGGCCATTGACCCTCAGGGGCGCTCTACCACTACTCTCAGAGGGCACTCTACCACTATGCGAGGCCGTCGACCCCTCCCCAGGGGCGCTCTACCACAACCCCCAGGGTGCACTCTACCACAACCCTCAGGGGTAAGGATGTAAACGAGACGGACCAAGTCGGCTCGCGAGCCTAAAGTTTCGGCTCAGGCTCGGCCAGGTTAAAATGACCGAGCTTTTTTACGGGCTCGAGTGCTCGGCCAAAAAAAAAAGCTCGGCCCGAACTTTTGCTCGGGCTTTTTCCGGGCCGAGTAGGCTCATTTTTTTTAAGGCAGTAGTTTTGCTGCCTTTTAAGGCAGCCTCAATGAATTTTTTTTAAAAGCTCGCGAGCTCAAGGGCCGGCTCAGGCTTTTCCCAAGTCGAGCCCGAGCCGACGAACCCAATTGCCATTCCTACCCAGGGGCGCTCTACCACTACCCCTAGAGGTCACTCTACCTTTACACGAAGTCTTCAACAACATGGAATTGCCTATCCAAACACTTAGCCATAAAACTTCTAGTGAATTGACTAGGTTCCATGGCGATTAATAGAGGTACAACCTCTAGGCGGGAAGTTAAAGACCCCCCACTCAGAGTGTGGGGGTAGTGTGAATGCCAACGTGGGACACGTGGCACCACAACCGCCCAGTGGTTATCCAGCTCCCAATATCTATAAATACTCTTGGATGTGACACAGGTAAAGGGATCTCTCTCTCTCTTTCTCTTTAGCCAATTGAATTCCAATTGCATTTT